TTTCTCTCTCTCTCTCTCTCTCTCTCTCTCTCTTCTAAACACCCACCGCCGTCGATGATCCTCCTCCTCTTCCTCCTCCTCCACTGGTGCCTCTGCCGGATCCGAGAAGATCATCGAAATCCAAATCAGATTTGAATCCTAGGCCGAGATCTAACCGTCGTGAGCGATCTATAGCGACGCAATGGCTTCCAAATTCTACGGCAAGATCGCCGATATCTGTGACGACCTCATCCTCCAGGCACATACACTACCCATCCTTCTATTCTATTATTGATCTCTCTTCTTATCAAACCCTAATTTACTCTCTCTCTCTCTCTCTCTCTCTAGGTTTCAACGCAGGGGATTACATTCCAGGACGAATGGCCCTACTCGATTCATCTTCTAGGCCACATCTACATTGACGACATGTGAGTTGATTTTGTATGACTGTGTTGTTCAGTGTCATTGATTTAGGGTTTTACGATGGTTTTAGGGTTTATGTATATATATATATATATCTGTTTTATATTGTAGCAGAGAAGTCTACTGGGATTAACTACGGTTGCAAATCGATCCCAAAGAAGAAGCTCATCTGCAAATCAATCCCAAAGAAGAAGTTCATCAATCATACTGGAATCCAGGTCTTTATTTTCTAAATTCGTTTCAGAAATTTATTTAAATTTGTGAAATTTGGGTTGATTTTTGCTTGACTGAAATTTGGGTTTGATTTGTTCTAAATTGATTCTAAAATTTGGGGATTTTGTGATTTTTTCTTGAAAGCTGCCCGTTGAAGCTCTTGGGAAATTTGGGTTTGGGTTTGGGAAATTTGGGAAATTTGTGAAAGGGAGAGGAGGACAAAATGTGAATTTCACAACTGATGGAGATACAGAGGGGAAGAAAATTAGCAGTAGAAGCAAAGGTGAAAGCTTTTCAGTCTCCAAGATCTGGTTGTGGTCTAAGAAGGGCAAATTCACAAGTTCTTCAGATGCCCACATGCTTAATTCTTCTGTAAATGTTGGTTTGCCTCCATGGACTGATAGAACTCAACAAGCTACATGAAGGTATTTTCATTTTGCTTTGTATTTTATTCATTAATTTTATGGATCCATTTTGTTAAAGGTTTCTTTAGCTTTAGCTTTTGCTTTTTTGGCCTTGATTTTAGGTTTCTTTTCTCCTCTCAAATACAAATTTGTGGGGGATGATTACACTTTATGGCAGATGGCAATCTACTTTAGCTTTTTCATTTGAATTCCATACACTTGTCAGTTTGATAAATGCTCTTTAGCTCTTTCCTTTTGCTTCCAAGCTTTTGTTGATAATTATGCTCTTTTATAATTTTTAAATTCATAATTTGTTCATACTGTAGAGCCATAAACTGGATATAGGTGCAACCTCCAAAAAGTGAAAGATTCATCAAAGTGAAAGATTCATTAAACACAGTAATCTGATAACTAAATTATTTCGTTTCCTCAAAAGTTGAGATTCATATCTTTATGTAATTTTGTATAATTAAAAAGTACAATAAGATTTGAGGTGGTCGGGGTTGAGGTGATTGGTCTTCTCTATAATTTCTTTCATACTTCTAATGTGGACCCTCTTCTGGGATGGATGGATGAATAATCATGACTCATGATCACGGTGGGATCTGTGAAAAGTGGTGTTAGGAACTCTTGTGATGATCTTTTCTTTTTGGTCTTGCTCTGCCTGGCTTATTTAGCAAAAACTGAGAAAGAATGAAGGTAAGACCTTTAACCATTGTATTTTTTTTAAGTTCAAAATTAAATAAAATAGTATACGAACAAACTTTATAGTAAAATATGGTTAGTAATTACATTTTTTTTATACAATGTGTAATTGTCTAATTCTAAGTAAAAACTTTATTAGCAATAAAGATTTGAAAAAAAAAATGTAATTGCTAATCATGCTCTACCACAATTAAATAATAAAGTTTTTCTATACACTATTTGTGTAATTTTTTGAATTGAAAGAACCCTACAATGGTTAAAGCCCCTAATAAGTCTGATTAGGTGAACAAAACTCTCCTGATTTCACCCAAGAAAGAGGATTGTGAACAAAATTATTTTTCAAACCATTGGCCATTGGGCTGCCCCCTTATTATTTTCTTTTCTTTTCTTTTTGGCCAAACACTTTGTGTGATGATGGGGCGGGGAGCATGATATGAAAAGTTAGCATGCATTATCAGTGGATTGTAGGGTCATGGAGTGTTCCCTCAGGGCCCAAGCTTATTTATGATGGCTTGCCCCCATATCTCCCCAAAATATATGTTGTCCCTCTCTAACAGTGTATTTGACAGCAACTGGTTGGAAAATTATCAGAATTCAGAACTGATTACTGTAAACCTTATGTATATATATCTTGGATCTTGGTAGCACATGAAAAAGAAAGAGAATCTATAGATATCAAGAAGCTTATTATTAAATTTAAAATAGTTTTTTTTATAAATCATGCTTTTTTTTACACTTTTTCAATACACTATCTCACTCAATATTAATAAGTGCATTAAGGACACTTATTAATATTTGTCTTTTTGTTTATTTGCATATGTAACATGATATCACATTATTAGAGCTCTAGTTTCTAGTTTCAGATACCAGAGTTTTATTAGTGTACCTTATATCAATGTGTCATATTTTAAAGAAAATTTTAGAGCAACTGTTTATTAATATTTGTCTTTTTGTTTATTTGCATATGTAACATGATATCACATTATTAGAGCTCTAGTTTCTAGTTTCAGATATCAGAGTTTTATTAGTGTACCTTATATCAATGTGTCCTATTTTAAAGAAAATTTTACAGCAATTGTGTCAATTTAGTCCTTCGTTCATTCTTAAACTTTTCACATTACATCAATTCAATTCCATTGCCAAAATTCCTTTAGAAATTAGTATTAAATCCAAAGGCAAAATAGTTTTATTCTTCTCAGAGTGATTTTGGATTTGGTGTGCAATTTAAAATATTTCAATCTTTTTTTAATAGGCCATTTTGTCCTATTTCTTAATGATATTATCAATTGAAGTAAAAAATTAAAAATGCGAATTTAATATAATTGGAATTACACAGATCAAATTAACACACAAAATAAATTATAAAAATAAAATTGTTCAAAATTTTATTACTGCATATTATTATATTAATTAGTAAATATATATATATAATTTATTAATTTATATAATATTTTATTAGTGTATAGTGCCATGCCTATATGGACAGTTCCCCCTGTGAAGGCTACTAATCAAATTCAACAATTTCATCAAGATTGCTGAAAAGGTTAACAATAGGTGGGAGATATGTGTCAGTCTTACCGAAGGGCAGTTTCAGCAGGTACAGATGGTGTTCGAATTGGAATGTAGTTCTATAAATAGGATGTATATAATATACACTGTATTGATGAAAATGTTTAATTTTGATGGGTTGATGACTTTCCGGGTCAGCTTTGTAAATTCGATTGCAACAATTAAGGGTGGGACTCATGTTGATTATGTTACCAACCATATTACAAACTATGTAATGAGTATTGTTAATAAAAATAATAACATAAAATAAAAAAGAACATCTGAAGTCTCTGGTGGTGGGTCAGTGCTAGTGCTGGAGATGAGGGTATTTTTGGGGCTTGACAGTTGTGCATAGTGGTGAAGAATGTGGATGGCGATGGATTTGTAAGCAGCTTAGGATGGGGAAGAATATTTGTAGTTGAAGAGTGACTGAAAGAAAAGTTATGTCATCCTTCTTCTTAATAAGATTAAGTTTTTAATGCTTTACCTTATTCTTTCTATTGAGAATGTAGACAAATATGTTTTGGAATTCGAAGGTGTTCACAGTCTGACACCTTGTTTCTGTTTCGGCCCCAAATGTACATATTTCTCCTCTATAGACATTTTTATTACTCGACTTCACTGTACTTGCTATACTAACTGTTTGTTCCTCTGTTTTTTGTAGCTTCTAGCAATTGGAACCCTAATAAAATGGTGATTTTCTCTTTCTGATTTTGAGTTTCTGTCTCTTTATTTCTATTGGCCTCCATATTCCCACAAATCATATTATAGTAATAGTAGTACTTTCTCAATTGGTTAATCTTGATTGTTGCAGGTAAAATTGTGGGATTTGTCAAACAACCAACCAACCATCATGTGTTGCATCAAATAATGGTACAGTTGGATCTTCAATAATCTTATCAAAATGGGATTTGCACAAGTACTCTACTATCGTTTATAATTGACATCATATCTCAAAAAGAATATCATGAATAATAGATAACAAAGTGTTGGAAATGGTTATAAATTCTGGGTAAAACCAGAATTTTATCCTAAGTTCGGTCTATTTTTAGGTGGGCCCCGTGCGTCGATTTTCATGGGTCAAAGCGGTAACGCGTTCTATGCCGCGTTGTGATTCATGTGGTATATTTGGTTGCTCAAAACGGTCCCGAGCGTCGATTTACTCGGGTCAAAGTGGTAACGCGTTCTATGTCGCGTTGTGATTCACGTGGTATATTTGGTTGCTTAAAACCATTACCGAGTGAATGGAAAATTGAAGCCAAAGTGTGTTCCATGGAAATGGAGTTGTGGTGGAAATTCCTTAAAGTTGTAAAATGGCTTGTCCCATATTGATTTGGTGGGAGGTTTTGAATGGGTTTATAAGGCTTGGGTTTGGTACTTGGGGTGTGCCCCAAGGGGTACCCAAGTGTTTTAGAGGGAGAGGTTATGGGCTAGACCCATTGGACCCAAAAATCACCACACACGCGCGCGCCGCCGCCGTCCGTCCGTCTGGTCGAGCGGGCTGGGCTTGGGCGCAGGTGTGAGGTTGGGTTGGGCTTGTTCGGCCCAATACTAATCTTTTTGGGCCAAAAATATTTGAATTTAATTTTATTTTTGGTAAAATAAAATCCAGAATTCAAATTAAACTGGTTTGGTTTTTCTGTACATCCAAACAGGGCCATTCCCGTATTAAACCGGAAATAATTGTTTGAATTGTAACCCAACAGATTCAAATCTGTTTGAATTCAAAACCAACAGGTATCATACCTGTTGAATTCAAAAACCTAGAGCCACCATTCCATCTATAAATAGGACAGCCCTCATTTGGATTTTGAGAACTCTAATTTTCGTCCTTCATAATTCTGCAAACATCCTCTTCATTTTGTTGTATTATTTTCTTGTCAGAGAGAGTATAAACACTTTGTATGTTCGTTAGACAAACAATTTGTAGTGCTGCTATTGTTTGTAGTAGATCATTTCATCCTGGGAGATAGACGTCCAAATTCTGAAAGCACCGTGGAGAGAAGTTGCTGATCATTTGATCTAACTGTAAACTTGAACTGCAGGGATTGGTGACATTGCAGCTGACACGTGATCCGAGTTATACTAGAGGCTTCTTGTCTGCTAGATCTGTCACTGGATTCTTGTCAGATGTTTATTCTGCTGCTGCTGATGTAGTGGGAAAAATACACTTAATTGCCGATGAAAGGGTGTGTATATCTGACAGATAATTTGATTATAATCCAACGTTTCTCCATTGATTCATTGCTTTGTTGAAAACAAATTGTTGACATCTCTAATGTCAGGTTCAAGGAGCAGTTTTTGATCTTCCAGAGGAAATTGCAAAAGTGCTACTGAATAGGCAGATACCACCTGGAAACACAATTTCTAAAATTACTAAGGTCGAATTCAAATTGTGGTCACTGTTTATCGTTATAGCTCTTGCATTGCAACATACAGTACTTTTAAGTTGGCTTTGATATGGATCATGTGCAGTTAATTTGTGTATTGATCACTTCATTTCCATGTTTTTGTATGGTCTCTTAGAATATGTACTGCTTATCTGTGTTTTGCAGCTACCCACGTTACAAGATGATGGGCCTCCAAGTGATAATTATGGCAGGTTTTCTAACAGAGATAGGGGTTTCCGAGGAGGTTCAAAAGAACGAGGAGCTTTCAGAAACTCACTGGGTCGGGGTCGTGGTCGTGATCATGGTCGTGGTTGGGGTCGGGGTTCTGATGATGACATGGATGAGTATGATTATAGACGTGGTGGTCGGGGCAACAGAAGCAACAGTAGTTGGTCTCCAAGCTCAAGAGACGGTGGGAGTGATTGGCTAATTGGTGGTAGACGGTCTGGGCGATCATCGTCACCATCCTTTGGAAATAGGGACAGGTACTTCCTTTTTGTTTGCGTTTTAACCATTTCAGTACAAGGAATCCACCAACTAGTAATGAGATTCTGTCATCAATGTCATTCATGCATCTAGTGTAGTCCAGAATGGGATTTGGGAAAGTGATATACATATATATATATATATATATTTCTGATGTGGACTCCCCTTTCTTTTTCATTCTTAACTAGTCTAGGAATATTAGATTCCCATTTCCCATGGGGGCGTGGCAATGAGATTGTTGCTTAGTTTAGTAATCTCACTCTGCC